CAAAGACTGATGGGAATCAGCAAATAAGTGCAGGGTGCTCGGCATCAATAATCCTTGAGCAAGTCCGATATGCAGTAAATCACTCAGAGGAATGATCTGGAGCTCATAACAATAACTATGACGGTTAGAACTGATGGGCCTATTAACAATTAATCTAATGATGTTCTTGTACATTGTGGAAATGGAGCATCAGAAGTGGTCTTCAGTCCATCAAGATTTAATAAAGCTCCCCTAGCACTGACTGAAACTGGAATCCAGTTCCATTCCCTTGACTTAGACTACTGCATTTATTAAATGATAATGGACACTTCCCATCTTTTAACAGAGCGAAGATGTCCTTCCATCAACCCACATTTCAAAGCTCAGGAGCTGATCAAGGAAGCAGTCAGAGTAAATCAACTGCTGCCCAGGTTCAGAAAAGACACGGTCCATTCTTTAACTATTTAACTAGTGAATGGTTAATTCATCACAGAAGAAGCTGCATGGTAACTGATAAGGCAGTGAAAATGAATGTCACAGTAAACCTGGGTACTAAAGATAGACAATAATATGGAAATGATTCCCTATGGGGTTTGCAGTGTACTGGTTTTGAGGCACATTAGAGAACATAGCATAAAAACAACCAAGCCAACCATAAATATAATTTGAAGTTACATCATAAAGGGCTTTAACAGAACCTAGTTCACTCTGCTTCTGTTCAAGGGTAACAAAATCCACCTATCAGCACCTCTAAATTTACCAACTATCTGTCACTTGCACTGTCAGAGTACATTTGCATAAATGTAAGCCCTTTTCAACTTTCCCCCATAATGGGTGCTTTTTGAATCTGATGAGCTCAGCGGGAGCACAAAGCTGAAAACCAGGTCTCATTCACAATGAATAGGAGCTGTCACTGCCTCAGCTTATTGATCCGTGTGTGTACACACCATTATACTAGCACAAGAAGATACGGTGCAGTATATTCTCTTTTTTTCTGCCTCTCCCTGGCTCATCCTTTAATGTCTGGCATATAACGTGAATGAGCATCTCTCCATCTGGTGTGTGTGAGCCAGGTCACTGTCTGGCTGAGCTACACGTTCCTTAAGGGAACAATGAAGGAACAGGCTTCCAGTAAGTCAGAGCATAGGTCCTCTACCCTGGGGATGTAAACAAGATTCAGGTTGAGGGCCTAGACCTGCTATGGGGCATCTCAGTATGCAGGGACACAAACAAACATATGGAAAAGCCCCAGAGATTGACCTTACACTGACTGGCTGTCACCTTAATCAAAACTGGTGTATGTCTCTCACACTGCAGTAGAACATAGAGGACTGTTAGATGTTAACATTATTAGTGCAAGAACTACACCTTCACAGGAGAATCCAGAGCCCATTAAGAGTGAAACCCTTGTGCTTTCATCTATGTCTGTTTGGTGTGACCTCAAATCCATACCAAATAAAATGTTTCAAGATTTGCCAATATTTTAATCTCTTTTTAAATGTTTAACCTGCCCATCTAAACCTTAAAACAGTTGTTCTTCTGACTAAGAAGGACACCCAACACAACTAGAGAAGGGTGTGGCGACACATCCTGTGAAGTGACATGTTTTGATAGACTGTGTTCGGGCAGATTTCTCTTTTCTTCCTGTTACTAAATGATGATCATAAAGGTTGTCAGCATTTGGTGAAAGTGTCTGCATATATCCAGTGTGACAAATACATCCTCTAGCCTCTCTTATTGTATTAAAGAGACTGGCAGGTTTCTGAATGTGCACAATAATATGAGAACACTCTGCGTGGACACAGTGTACTGCGCGTACAGCATAACAGACACACATTATCTATTGTATCACAATTGTGAGAGCTAATGTAAGCCTGAGGACATACCTGCCCCATATTAAACAAAGTTACCCACTTGCATGCACACACTAATGTAGCAGTTTGTGATCTGTATTTATGAACACAGCACCGATGGCTTTGGACTGTTTGAGAAATGAGACGCATGGATGAAGAAGCTGCAGTTTCTGGAGAAGCCTCAACACTAATAATCTAAATTAATCTTATACTATGCACAAGTGGCTGTCAAAATTACATTTTCTCATCTGTGTCTTATGTCTAAATAACAACTAATGTTAATATTTTATATGAAAATAACAAAGTAAAAAGTTACATATTCCAAGATCGCAGAAACATGCCAACATTAACAGAAACATAAGGGCAATGTAATACACAGATTGCTCCATATTTGCTACATGATAAAAAAGAAATAAGTACTGCAGATATATTTTAGTTCAATATTCTTTGACTAATCAAAATTAAATTGATCTAATGCTATGACACTGTTTCCAAATCTTTTTTAACAGCAGTGCCTGAGCTTCATCACTGCTGGAAGGCAAGTCACCTGAAGAATCTTGCTGAGGATAGCTGGTGATAAAATTATTTAGCTGTCTAGTCATGTCTTTGTGCAAAGAAGCTGTCCACTTAATATACTAACATTTATCTAAAGAGGAGCGTGCTGTCCTCATGCGGATGCTATTCAAGGAGATTCTTATTCATGACTCTTAGGATGTGTCCCGTAAGTAGTGTATACCGTATACTGTCACATAAACAGGACCCCGAAGCACAAGATAAATCATTACTGATCGTGAATCCAAGGAAAAATGTTGTATACTGACTGTGCAATGAAGGCGTGTTCTATTATGCATCCCATTTCCACAAGAGGGGTACAATACGTCATTCACACCAGATGAAGCACTACTGAAAGATACTACTTCAACTAAAATTCATTGGTTGCTGCTGCAATTAATTAGGAAAGGACAGTAAAAGGCTTTCCTTTTATTTTATGTCTGCATTAGAAAATTACTGCCTATCTGTAGCCAGAAACTGTTAAGGGGATGAGATCCACTCACGTTTACTGTTAAGAGTTTACATAGAGACGTTTCTTGATCATATCTGTCTCTTAAACACAGGCACAAACAACAACACACGATACTGATGATCACTGTATTATTTATGTGTCCTTGCGTGTGTGGGCACGTACTTGCATACTACTACTTACAACAGCAGTGATTTAATGCTTCAAGGTTGCAACTCAATATGCTGTACACAAAATGAGGCAAGCAACAAGAAATAAAACAGCAACTGAAACAACAGGAGTTTAAAGTCAAGAAACCATAAGTTAGATTTGAAAAATGGTGTTATGATTAGAGATTTATATTAAAATTATAATTAGAGACTGGACAGAGCCCCAGTGTGGCACATGACACAAATTTGCAAGGTCTATGTTCTATCTATCTGTCTCTAGGTATCACACTAGGTTCCTTTTAGGTTCTGGGCCAAGTGGTAATATTTCTGTTTTGTCCTCATTTAGTTTCAAAACATTATTTTTGCATCCACTAATTTATTGACATCAGGCAAGAGGGTGGGGAGTCTGTAAAGATATCATCAGCGTAGATATGAAAATGTATGTTAGGTTGTCTGATGATATCTCCAAGAGAAAGCAAGGCCACAGATAGCAACAGTATCTTCTATCACCACTGGAACAAAGCAAAACAGAGATGCCAGTCAGCCTTAGGACAAGATGTGAAGCGGCACCGTGGTATAATTATAAACATGAAACTCACAGAAACTACTTCAGGGTCTAAAGCAGGGCCACTGACCAAGATAAGGATCAATAGACTTCGGAAGAGGCTGTTCAGGTCAGCTCTTTGATTGAAACTACCGATGACTGACTTCATCCTTACCCATCCTGAGAACAACCGTGGGTTTTGCTCAAAGAAGGACTGCACCTTCACAAACAGATAGTTTAATGACTGTCTATAAACCACTATGGTAACACAATTATTTAAAAGTGCACTGACTCCCTGTAAGTTACATCTAAAGCCACATCATAAACTGGGTTAAATGGTGGGTAAAACCTACCCAACATTTCAGCTGGAACATCTGTTGTTTAGGTTCAGGTAACAGTGGAATGAATCAAATGAAGACTACCTGCTTTTACAGCAGGAAGGCAAGTACACACAGTGGCAGTGTAAAATGTGCTACACCTCTTACTACATCACATACAACTATTGTATGAAAAAGTATAAACATAAAACACGACTATCCATTCATTCAGTTCATGTCAGTCAATAAAAACAGAGCAGATTATGGAGACAGGAGCAGGATGATCACACTAACTGAGCAGATTATGGAGACAGGAGCAGGATCAAGCAAAAATCAAACAAATTCAATCATAGCTGAGCTGAGCAAGAACTACTGTATCTCGTCTGCTTCCAAAAATGTCAAGACACAGCAGCATTTCCTGATCCTAAAGCTATTTCTGTGTCATTGTGACCTGAGGGGGAACTTTAGGCTGCCTCATCCTACCACCAACCACCAATGTATGTGTGTGTGTCTGTACAATCAAAACATCACCAGAAATGTGCATTAAATCTGCATTTTAGTCATTTAAACCGTGACTTTAAAAAAAAATAAGTGCAGCAGTTGCATTACTTCCAAAAAAAATAAGGAGTACAAAGGTATGCACTTGCTTCCTCATAATATGACCATGGAATAACAATGCAGAGAAGAATAAGAGAGGAGGAATGCAGTGTGTAACAGCATGTGTTAGTCCTAACCCTGCACAAACATACAATCACAATCCAAAGTAAAATGTATGCACAGTTTTCCCCTTCACTGCCAGTGGTACAATAATTACACGAATCCATCCGCTGTTGTAAACAGTCTCTCTTAGACAGCACGACTTCTCTTGAACACAAAACATTAGTTTAAAACACAGGCAACAACAGTAGCTCCACCCCGCGGTAATTGCCTTACCTCGGTCACAGGAGCTCAGTATGTCCTTTGGTGCATAATGATAAGCGCATCACTAACAACATTACAATAATCATCTCCACGGGGGAAAAATACAGCGAATCAAACTAAACGTGCAGACCAGCAACTCTATGTTGCTAGATTAGTGATGGAAGAGTAGACAAAGCAGATTAAACACAACAGAGATGCTAAGAAAACTTCACCTACCTCCTCCACTGTGAGAGGCATGCAGATGCGGTACTCCTTCATCAGCATAGTCCTTGCACAATAGAGATGGCACCACAGGGGGAAATGTAGGTTCGGACTTCAGTCTTGGGCGCGATCCTAAAAGTCAGTCATTTAACTGAAATCATTTGTTCTGTGAAACATGGTCTGTGAGATCCACTAATTTATCAAATCCTTCCTCACTTCTGCATCAGCAACACCTCCTGCAGCACCTCGCTATACCTACGTGAATCTCTACACACAGCAGGTCCGTAGTAAAAAGAGGGTCTACTGAGGGTTATAATAATCCTTCCGTAAATAACACCTCAGTTTTGTCTCTGGATAAAGTCTGCCGATTAGTAAGTGTAAAGAAATCAAACCAAACTCCAAAACAAGTGGCCTTCAACATCAACTTCAAGCAGCCTTAAGGATTGAGCCTTTCGTCGTTTCCTTCCTCTTCAGGCATGGACACTCTTCGTTTAACCGTGTTTTCTTGAAAGCAGCTCTCCAAATCTATCATCTCCTGTTCCTTTGAGTTTTCCTGACAGCTCCGTGCACTGTAGTGATGCGCAGCCGTGTGGAGCAGCAGCGTCAAGCCAGCGACTGTGAGGCAGTAACGTTAGCCTACCGGAAGTAGTCGGCTTGGACCATCAGCGTCCCTGTATAATCATACAAATACGGATATACTGTATAATAAACATACACACTAGTACACGTATATAGCAGTTAATTATTAGCCAGAATGCTGTTGACTGACTCAATATTGTCGTTTGCATCAAACATTAAATTAAATTGTTTGTTAATAAACATGACCGGAAGTTCTGCGTGGTACTTTTACATATTCAGCGGAGCCAAAGAGGTTTTGTTTTCTGTTTACCTAAATATGGGTGATAACCAATATAAAAACAGACAAGTAAATCGAGTCTTAACCATTCATGTGGGATAACGTGGCACACATCTCACAAAACCTTGACAGAAATATGATATGTAACTGTTAGCAACAACAAAGGGCAACATAAGTATCTGAAATAAATTATTAGTTTCTTCGACAATCCCTTGTTGGCCAAACACATCCTGTCAACTAACGTTAGCTTAGCTCAATTTATTATTTGTTTTAGCGCGTTACATGTATTTTAGATATAATTAATTTTCTGTACTGCAATTACAGTATGTGTCCATGCGTAACACTAACGTCGTCTCCACCTTTGGCCTATAAATTGTGCAGTACAATGTTTTTACTCTTCTAGCTAGCGTAGTTAGCTTTAAAAGCTACTTGCACATATGCTAGCGAGCTAACTAAAATGCCAAGCTATTCTTTGCTGTGTATTCTGGTGTACTTTAGAGCATATGGGTTTTATGTTTCCTCCATTTTAACTTCATTTATATATTGCTTTATTTAGTCATGCTGTTTTCTGGAAGTAATGCAGATGCAAACAACGTTTTTTGTATTAACGTTATGTTAAGGTCAAAGGTCAAAGTGTTTATTTGTCTTATGCACAGTTAGGAAACGTGCTTGCAAATACTCAGCAGTGAGTGTGCAATTGTCCATGTGCAAAATGAGTATGTAAACAGTACAGATGTAATTACATGAGGTAGATCCTGAGTCGGCTGTTTAGGAGTCTGATGGCAGAGGGAAGAGTTTTTCATTCTAGAGGTCCTGCATTTCACATTTCTGAGCCTCCGACCGGAGGGTAAGAGTATAAACAGTCCGTGCTGGGGGTGGGTGGGGTCCTTGAGGATGGAGGCAGACCCTGCGGTGGTAATTGGTCTGCAGAGAGGGCAGTGGAGTCCTGGTGATCTTCTCCGCAGTCTTTACCACTCTCTGCAGGCGTTTGCGGTCCATAGCAGTAGTGCTGCCATACCAGACAGTGATGCAGCTGGTCAGGATGCTCTCAATGATGCAGGTGTAGGCCCCGGATGAACAGCGGCCGATGAGATCTTCTCTCCTTCCTCATGTCCACTATCATCTCCTTCGTTTTGTCCGTGTTGAGGCTGAGATTATTGTCCTTGCACCATGACACCAGACCGGCCACCTCCCTCCTGTAGGCTGCTTCGTCCCCGCCAGTGATGTGACCTACTGTCTCAATGCGGTGTCGTCCACGAACTTTAGGATGATGTTGTCTTTGTGGGAGGCAACACAGTCGTGGGTGAACATGGTGTAGAGGATGGGACTGAGGACACATCCCTGTGAGGTGCCGATGTTCGTGATAATGCTGGCTGAAGTCCTATTGCCAATCCTGACAGTCTGGGGGCCTGCCAGTCAGAAAGTCCCGGAGCCAGTCACAGAGGGTGGGGTGCAGACTCAGTGTGGACAGTTTGTGGGTGAGTTTGTGGGGGACAACTGTGTTGAAGGCGGAGCTGTAGTCAATGAAGAGTATCCTGATGTAGGAGTCTCCATTTTCCAGGTGAGAAAGGGAATAGTGGAGGGCAGCCGCAATGGTGTCTGAGGTGGCCCTCCCAGGGATGTTGTCCAGTCTTGCTGCTTTGCGGGGGTTAAGCTAACAAATGTTAGCTAACTACCTAGCAACAATCATCTGTATTGTCAAAATGGTGACCTGTCTGCTTTGTTCAAACTTTACCAAAGAGTTCATTTGATCAGTTATAATTTCATTAATGTTATAGTGTTATTGGACACTCACCAGCTCCTCTGTCCTTTTCAGAAGAAAAAGATAAGTCATCATGCTCCCAAAGGTCATTGAGCAAGCTGAGTAGCACCAAATTTACAACAGAAATAGTAGTACACACAGCCATTTTTAAAATTTATTATTTGTTGTACTTTACATTTTTATTTGAAGCCATTTCAAAAACTTTAACATCTTACAGGAGGCAGAAAAATATAATATGCAATAACACACTCCGGTGTAGTAGGTGACAGTATACACCATTGAAGTTGGTTTGTAGCCTGCCATTTAACATGAGAAGAAGAAGAACTGAATATGTAGTATTCTTTTCACACGGCAGGTGTCAGCAGAGATCTTCATTTCAGCTGAGATGTAATGCAAAGAAGTATAAAGTACTGTATGTACTAATTTGTTGTAAGATCACACATACCATGGGTGAATTTCTGAGCCCTCTTCAGTACAGGAAATGAGCCCTTTCATTTTTCATACAACCACAAATGTAATGATCTTTATGTGCCATAATTCAACACACACATACAACTCTGACATCTTTCTTTCATTTGGTGAAAATAGGGAAAGGGAAAAGGTTAGGCTCTTGACATTAGTATTTCTGAGTAAGCTTTATATAAACAAAAGATGAGTTGCTGGTCATTCTAGGTTCCCTGTACTGAGCAGCTGAAAACAACAAATGATTGTGCTGTAAAAAATATAAAGTAATATCACCAAGCATCTTCATCACATAAATATTTGCTGTTCTAGAATATAGTAGAACTCTTAACAACATTATTAATATTACAGTGCTTTTAGTTATTGTGCCACCTTTACTCTTTTTTTCAAATACTGTAATTCTTCCCATCATACAGCACCATTTGAATAGAACTTGGAAAGAAGAGAGAGTAGAGTAGATTCAGGAAGTTCCACATGCTGTCACTCTACTACAGGCACCTGTACATGTAGTGTACCAGTAGCTTTACTAAAGGGACAAACAGTTGCTGAATGGCAGAATATGCAGGTACAGTGTGAAATTTTTTTCACCATACTGTTCTCCAGCTTAATTCCCTGTACACACACACTAAGGACAAGCACGCACACACACACACACACAAAAAGTCATACCAGAAACAAGTGAATGTGACATTTAGCTATAGTGTGAAACTAACGACACCAGTTAGGCAGTACCGTATATCTGCTTACACATAGACACACACAGAAACTCTGTTTATTCCAGCTTGTATCAGAGTGTTGGCAGAGAGGAGAAACTGTTGCTAAGAGACCTGGTTTCTGTGCCTCTTGCCGCTCAGCTTCATTAGCTGGCCTTTACTGTCACTGTCCTAACCTCTCAGCCCGGTCAGTCCACTGTTACTGTGGAGAAAGGAGCTTATTTCTCAGCTTGTTTAATGATGGGGTTTGTGCTGGAGCCAAAATTAATAAGGAGCTTATTGGAGCCATCAGTCTGGAACAGAAAAAAACAGGTGTTAGATGGGCGTCACAGGCCAGCTTAATGATTGTATTACATCCAGGTAAAACAGCAAGAATGGGATCTGTGGAGGCAGGGGTGGGTGACTTTTATGCTTCATTTGTGTTGAATGTCTCGCCTCTTGCTATAGGGCATGATTTAGACCGGTTAAAGTCCAACATGGAGACGCCACAATTAAAAATTGGGATATTCAGTATGTATACCAAGGATTTTGGTTAAATGAACTCGAAACTGTGAATCATCGCATTAGAGGACACTGAAATCCCGACCAAATGTAGGTTAGTACATTTTAGATAAAACAAAAACAATTCTGCCAAAGTTAGAACATTTTTGGCAGTTTCACATGAGAGGCTTCTGTATTTCTGTTTTTGTTCTCAATGGGCTTAATTCGATGCAGTTAGTTGGACAAACCTGATGTCACATACTTCCATGCACCAGTCAGGATTTGGCAATGCTGTAATCATAATGTTGAGAATTGTGGGATTGTTTGTTTATGCTGCCAGTAGGGCTGCCCCCTAAACACAGAAAGGTGTTTAAAAAGTAACAATACCTATAGATATGTATCCATACATTTATATCTATCGATAAGAAAACCATAACTCGAGGGGATTTATGAGGTGAGGTTACAAAGTGTATCTGCAGCACTTTTCCTTGGTCTCTGAGTCTTAAGTTAAATATGCTGTGTTTGAGTGTTTCCCCTGTACATATGCCTCACAACAAAACAGATAACTGTAGTACTTTTTTCTTTACTATATTTGACAGTTGTAGTTACTATTTTCTTCACATACTAATCTTTCACCTGCAAAAGAAATGCCGACCTGATAAAATATGATGTACTGCTATACATAACAGTAGAGTTAACACTATCTCAAACTCATCCGGCTACAACAGTGAAATGCTGATTACTTAATGTATCAGTAATAATAATTCAGTATAATAATACAGCAGTTACAGGGAGTGTTGTCTGAATTAAGAGTAGCCTGCTTACACTTTTGATCCCTAAATTACATGATGTTAATTTTCACTGCATTGCTTTTACTTGTAATGGAATGTTTTTAGATTGAAGAACTGCAACTTTCAGGTTCTGGCCTAAATACTTCCTCTAGCACTTAACAACACACTCCATCTGCAGTGCTGTGATGGAGAACTCTAACATGATTGCCTGTAGTTTGTAAGACGGGCCCCTAGATGTATTTATAGTTATTATTGGTTAGGTATTTCATGTATTGTGTTTATGTAATTCCTGTATATAGTACATATCCCTGCCCAGAGATGGGGATATGGCATATATACACACCACTACACCTGTGGTTTCCCTCCAGTGGAGTTAGTTATGAAATCAGGTCTAACTGAAAACTTTTTTCTTAATTGTGGCTTTGCAGATTTACCATGAAAACAGGAAGATAACAGTGGGAAGAAAGAGTGGAACACTTTACACAATGAGACTCGTCTTTCAAATTTGGATAATTGCTAAATTGAAGATGAGGAAAGTTTTACTGAAACATGTCTCACAAATAGACTTCTTCTGTTTCCACA